GCGCTGGTTTGGGACCACTTTCTGGAGTCTGTCAGATTCGGAAGAAACGACGCAAGAAACGTCTCTGGGCCAACTATGTGGCGATGTCCCGAGCGAAGGCGCCAATTCTGAGATTCTGCGCCGGAGTCTGTCTGATTTGCCAGAAAGGGGCGGCCACGACGCGGCTATGGGCGCCAGGCGAGCACCTGGAAACGCAAGTGAACCACCACTGCAGACAAGAGTCCTGGCCTGGCTGAGTCCAAATGGGTGAGGCCGTGGCCTCGGACTCTTCTGGATCATGCTGACCCCCGGATTTTTGGCCGCGAACGAGCTCGGACTCCTCGGGCACTCAACTCCTCAAAAATCACATGCGTCACTTTCGCAACCGTAACGAAAAACCGAGCGGCTATGCTCGGGGGTGCAGAGAGCTGACCTCGCCATAAAAACAAGCATTAAGCTGGTCCGCAAACAAGCGGGCAGGGAGTTCACCCTGATGTTCGAAATTGATCGGCTGGACGTCATCGAGACGCCTGGCTGCCACACTCAGCATCCCAGCTGCGCGGCCCAAAATTCATTATCACTCCCGACACAATACATTATTCCTTCCAGGACCATTCTGGAAACGGTCTGGCCTGAAGGGAGGCTTAATTACCTACAGCATGCAAATGCGAAGAACAGTCGCTCCTCAGACTTTAGCATCGAAGGGCTGCTACCCTGTGCGACAGCCGCTTCAGAAAAACAGACCTCTGCATTTGCAGGATCGCCGCGTGGCCTGTCCCTCGGACGGCCGGAAGATTACACTTAATTACCCACGAGGCTCACCACCCCAGAGACGGCGGGATGGGGCCGTGCCCCCGAGCCCGGCGCGCCGAGCACTGGGGCCCCCTCTCCGCCGCGGGCCTCTGGCTCTCGCCGCGAGGGCCTTCCGCATGGCTCTTCGCCGCGGGGGGGGGGGCGAAGGCGCAGCCGAGGCCCAGCGCGCGCAGGTCACCCGCGGGAGTGCGAGTGTGTTCGCGCCTTTGAGGGGCAAAGACAGGGGGGGACTGGCACGGGGGGGGGACTGGCGTCGGCCTGGAATCGGCGATACATCGCCGATGGATCGGCGACAGGCCCCCGATAGTGTATCCGCTCCTTCCTGTGCGGAATGGGGCTATCGGGCCCCTATCGGCACTGAATGGGCGATTGAGGGTCGATGCATCCCCCCCCCATGCCTGTCCCCCCCCCCTATCGTTGCCCCCGAGCTTTCTGTCTGGGGAAACCAAGGGGGGGGGGGCGGTCAGTCCAAGCCTACATAGCGGCTCCCACTCTTCGGGCTCCTCCAGCCCGCCAGGCAATGCTGCGGGGCGCGTGGGGTGCCTGGGGCCCTCCGCCAGCGGGCCGGCGACGGCGCGGCGCACGGATCGCAGCTGTCCGTCGGGGCGCCGTCCGGCGGCGGATGCCCCGAGCGCGGGAACTTCGGCAGGCTGACTGGGAAGCCCTTCGAGAACACCAAGGAGGTCAGCCAATCCAGCCCGTCATGGAGGCCAGTGCCCAGCTTGGCGCTCGCTGGCTGGACGCGCCACTGCCTGTTCAAGCTCTTCAACCCAAGCGCATAAGTCACCTCCGCCGATGTCAATGAGCAGGGCATGTCCTGCTTGTTGGCGAAGATGAGCAAAGGAGAATCTCGGATGTCATCGACCTCCAGGATTTTCTCAAGCTCCCCCCTCGCAGGCACCACGCGGTCGACGCTGCTGCTATCCACGACGAAGATTATGCCACAGACTCCTTTGTAGAATGGGAGCAGCAACGGCCGGATCTTGTCACGGCCCGCGAACCCGACGTCCCACATGGACAGACTCCTGCCCCTGTGCGCGACGGTCTCCACGTTGAACACAACGCTCTGCGACGCCGTCGGCGACTGCTCGGAGCACTGGGCGAGCTTCTGGAGCACGGTAGTCTTGCCGGCAGCGTCCAAACCAAGTAGCAGAATGCGCTTCTCGCCCTTGCTCCGTAGATGTAAACGCTGGAGAAGCTCCGCCCCGCGACCCATGGGAGCGAATGCTGAAGAGCCAAAACACAACTTTGCCAGGATATAAAAAAGGGATTCAGCCAGACAACTGATCTCTGGTTTCTGCTGACGGACGGAAGGTTTGATGGGAGGGTCCTGGGCTCCCCTCAGGGGTGCTGAAACCAGCGCCCCGCCTGAGGCATCCCTTTCTGCTGTGAAAGCTAAGGATGTAGGGCATGAAAACGAGCAAACCGCCTGTGACATCCCCACAAACTGGCCGCGAACGGGCCCGTGAAAACACCCCTGGCGGCTCCCCTTGCGAGTCTGAGTAGGACTAGGTCTGAGTATGATTACGTCTCAGTCCGTGCGTTGAGTAACTCAGGCTATGAGAAGGTCTGAGCATGTGTAGGTTTGAACATGAATAAGTCAGTGTATGAGCAGGTCTGGAAACGAGTCTGGGTAAGAGTAAGTCTGGGTATGCAGGAGTCCCAGCATGAGTAAGTCTGAACATGAGTAGGCCTGCGTGTTGTGTGTTGAGTAAGTCAGACCATGAGATGATATGAGTATGAGTAGGTCTGAGTATGAGTAAGTCTGTGTATGAGTAGGTGTGTTATCTCTGGAGTCGGCGGCGTCCGAGCAATAACAAACAATCCATCTTAGGATATGGGAAAATCCATGACGATCGGGACGCGGCACGGGTCTGGATACACAAGGCTGACAGACAAGCAATAATAAGCCATATGGCTTTTTTTTTCACAGACCACCCCTGAGAAGGCGCGCCCGTGATACACTCCGAAAGTGGGGTCCCCCCTGAACTAACCCCCCGTTGGACTTCACATGCTGGAAACTCCCCACCTCCCTTTTTCTGCCCGTCGGAAGCTTCCCCCTCTCTTTCGCGTTCCGGAAGCTACCCCCCCGCTCCCTGCCCAATGGGGGGAGGCTTAGCTGCCCTCCCGCCTCTTGGACCTCCCCTGCCGAAGGCCCCCACCCATACTTTTTTCCCGCCCCGCGGAATCTACCCCGCCCTCCCTTTCCCCCTTTCGCGCTCCGGAAGCTACCACCCCCTTCCCTTTCCAAATGAAAGGGGGGCTTAGCTACCCTCCCCTTTGACTCCCACTTGCCGGAAGTTCCCCACCCTCCTCCCATTTGGGGCTAAGGGGGGGGGGCTTGGAAGCCCCTACCCACTTTGGTTATAGGAAAAAACACGCCAAACCACCAGAGCGCCGAAAACCAAAGAGCCACCAGAGGCGCGCCGAAGACCGAAGGAACGCCGAAAACCGAAAGGGCACCGAAAACCGAATGTGCGCCGACAACCTAAATAAGATCGAAAACCAAGGGAACGCCAAAAACCAAAGAAGCGCCGAAAACCAAAGGAAACGGGAAACCAAAAAGCGCCGAAAAGCAAAGGGGCGCCGAAACTCAAAAAGCGCCGAACTCCGAACGAACGCCGAAAACCAAAAGGGCGCCGAAAACAATGAAAGCTGAAAAAACCAGCGGGGCGCCGAAAACTAAAGAGGCACCGAAAACCAAAAGAGCGCCGAAAACCAGAGCAGCGCCGAAAACCAAAAGGGCGCCGCAAACCATCAAAAACCGAAACAAAAAAAGGCGCCAAAAACCAAAAGGTCGCCAAACTTGAAAAGGACGCCGGAAACCAAAGGGGCGCTGAAAACCAATAGGGCGCAGGGCGCCGACAACCTAAGGGTCGCAAACCAATGCCGAAAACCAAAGGGGCGCCGAAAACTAAAAGGGCACCGAAAACCAAAACGACGCTGGACACCAAAGGAGCGCTGAAAGCCACCAGAGGGGCCGAAACCCACAAGGGCGCCGAGAACCAAAGGAGCGCCGAAAATCGAAAGGGCGCCGAAAACCAACGGGGCGCCAAAAACCAAGGGGGCGCAGAAAACAAGAAGAAGGACGAAAACCAAAAAAGGCGCCGAACACAAACAAGGGCGCCGAAAACCGAAGATGCGCCAGTAAGCAAAAGGGCAAAGGACACCGAAAACCAAAGGCACTCCGAAAACCAATGGGGCGCCGAAAACAAAAGGAGCGCCGAACGCCCAAGGGCGCCGAGAACCAAAAGGAGCGCCGAAAACCAAAGGGGCGCCGAAAGCCGAAGAGCGCCCAAAATCAAAGGGGTGCCGAAAGCCAAAAAGGCGCCGAAAACTAAAGCAGCGCCAATAATCAAAAGAGCGCCGAAAACCAAGAGGGCGTTGAAAATCCAAGGGGCGCTGGAACCCCAGAGGGCGCCGAAAACCAACGATGCACCGAAAACCAAAGGGTGCGCAGAAAACCAAAGTGAGTGTCGAAAATCAAAGGAACCCCGAAAACCACAGGAGCCCCGAGAACCGAAGGAGCGCCGAAAACCAAAGGCGCGCCGAAAACCAACGGGGCGCCAAATGCCAAGGGTAGCCGAAAACCAAAGACTCGCCGAAAACCACAGAGACGCCGACAGCTACAAGTACGCCGAAGACCAACGGGGCGCCGAAAACGAAAGAAGAGAAGTAGCTTCGAAGCCCCCCTCCAGCCAGGGCCCTCCAGCTGGAAAAGCCAACAGGAGGGGAGGGGGGGTAGCTTTGGAAGCCCCCCCTTTGGAAAGGTGAGCCTGGGCTTACCCAGGGCTCCGAAAAGGAGTGGGGGGTAGCTTCCAAGCGCCCGCCCTTTAGCAAGGGACCCCCCAGCTACCCTCTCCAAGCAAAAGGAAAGGGGGGGTTGTTTCGAAAGCGCCCCCCCTTTGAAAGGGGGAGCCCAGGCTGACCCCGGGCCTCGAAAAGAGGGAATGAGGGAGGTAGCTTCCCACCTCCCTTTAGCTAGGGCCCCCCCCAGCTAAACAGTTTGCGCAAAAGGGGCCGAGGGAGGGGGGATAGCTTTGGAAGCCCCCCTTTTCCAAGGGAGGGGGGGGGGCAGCTTGAAGCTGGGGCTCCCCTTCTAGTGAGAAGCATGCCGCGAGCGCGCTCTTTCCAACATCTGCCTCTTCTCCGATTACCCACCCGATCTGCTGGACAAAAGGTCCGGAGAGCGATGTGAGTGCCAGACCTTCAGGCACATCACCTGACATAAGATTGCCCTCCATCTCTTCCCCTTCCGCACACGGCGCTGACGTCCCTGGTCGCCGTGCTGGGGGGGAGCGGAGTGGGGGGGGGGCGCATTATGTAACCCCCCAGAATTCTTGACGCCTGCCAGGAATAAACTGGACTCCGACGCAAGAGGACGATAAGGACGGCTTCTTGGTTTAAGTCCCCACCACCCCTGACGCGGTAACCGCTGTGTCAGAGAGGGCAGCCCGCACACCCACCTCCCCACCACAAGGGGAGAATGCGAAGTGCTTGTGTACGGGACGGGGTGCGCACAGATGGGCAGCAAAAAACGCGGTGTGGACGCCTCGGGGGGGGTCTGACCGAAAGTGAGACAAATTACAGCCGATTTGGACGCATGCCGACCGTTCTGGTACCAATGCCAACTAAATGGTACCAATTCCAACCGAGTTGGAAGCTCCTTAGACATTCCTTAGAGATTGCTTCGGGATTCCGTCGAGACTGTTTCGACATTCCTTTCGAGATCATTTGTACAGTCCTTAGAGATTCCCTAGAGATTCCTTGCGGACTCCTTCGATAGTCCCTCGATATTGCTTGGGGGCTCCTTAGATGCCGAATCGCTCGGCCCCCGCCTGCCTTCCTGCGACGCGGGATTCTCCACGCTCCCCAAGGTAGCGGTTCGAATGACGGCGCGCCATATCTTCTGGGATCTGGGCATCCCCAACTCCCGAATGAATGTCCATTGGAAAATCCATCAACACTTTATATAAGTATGATGGAGGGCTGGGACCAAGCGCTTTTCCTGTTGAATGCAGATTGAAGCAAACACATAAAGCATGAACGCATTATTCGGGAGGCAGGGGCCAGCCAGTGCGTATCCCATAATCATATCAGTAATAACCACCCCGCCATTGCGGATACGAATGAGGGGACCAGGAGGGAGAGGATGAGGAGGGGGAAACGGAGCGGGAAGGGGGAAGCGAAGCTACGACCAGCCGGTTCTTCAGGCAGTCTGCCTCCCCAGTGTGCCCTTTCAGCGTGCCCTCTCAGCGCGCCCTCTCGGCGCCTTCGCAGTGCGCCCCCCCAGCGTGCCATCCGAGCGTGGCCTCCAAGCGTGGCCTCCCAGCGTGGTCTCCCAGCATGGCCTCCCAGCGTGGCATATCCAGCGTGCCCTCCCGGCGTACCATCCCAGCGTGCCCTCCCAGCGTGCCCCCCCAGCGTGCCCTTCCAGCGTCGCCCTCCCTTCTCCAGCCACGCGCGCGCAAGGATCGTTTAAGACTTCTCGTCCCCCTCACTCCGATATTGCATGCCACATGGAATGATGAATGATAAAGCAGTATGATGGAGGCTGGGATCAAAACGTGTCCTAGTGCATACGAATTGAAGAGACGAATTCACAATTCCACAAGTTTGCCGGAGACTGGGATCAACGCATTTCCTACTTGATTCTGGTTAATACAATTACTCCAACGGATGGACCCACATGAAAACCTAATTCCCCACATCCAAAGTGGGGTTCTTGTTCTCTCTGGACACCCCGCGCAGGAACAGGAACCCACCATCATCATCATCACTCATTCCTTTTCCCACACCCAAAGTGGGGTTTTTGTTCCCCACATCCAAAGTGGGGTTCTTGTTTCTCTGGACACCCCGCGCAGGAACCTCCTCACCTCACCCCCTCTCCTCTTCTGTCTTCGTGCGTTCACTCACTCACTCACTAGCTCACTCATTCACTCACTCACTCACTGACTCATCAGCACTCACTCACTGACTCATCAGCACTCACTCACTCACACGCTCATGAACTCACATATGATGATGATGAGTGTGCCCGTGAGAGAGTGTGATGATCATCATCTTCACCAGGTCAGTCAGTCACTCACTCACTCACTCACTCACTCGCCTTGGGCCTCGTCTGTGAGTGAGTCCCACCAGCCCTTTAGGGCGTAGGTGGTCTAGGGAGTTTCCTCTGCCAACCCCCTTCTTCCCCTTCGGGGAGGGGTTTACCCCTCCCCTTACCC